CGTTCCCCCGTCCCGCCCTCGTTCCCCCGTCCCGCCCTCGTTCCCCCATCACCCCGAAGAAACGAGGCGCTTGGCAAACTCGGCTGCGGAGAGAGAGAGACAGAGAGAAGCAGAGGGCGGAGGCAGACCCTTCGGCCCGACCGGCCCCACTCCCCGCTCGCTCCCGGCCTGCGTCCCTCCAAAGCCCTTTCCCTATCCACGTACTTATCCCAAATATCCTTTTTATATGTTGTAGCTCTATCCACGTCCACCGCTTCCTCAGGGAGTTCATTCCACACACGCGCCACCCTCTCTGTGTGGAAAATGACCCTCCTGTCTTTTTATTTTGTTCGAAATCTTTCCCCTCTCGTCTTAAAAGTACACCTTTGTAGTTTTGCACTCCCTTACCCAGTTGTGGGGGGTGGGGGTTAATGACCTCGTCTATTCACCCTATCCGTGGCCCCCTCACAATTTCTTAAACCTCCACGTGGTCCTCAGCCCTCCGACGCTCTGGGGGAAACAGCATTTCCGCCACTGACACCAGCTCTCTCCTCGTAACTCGAAACCCCCGCACTGCGTCCCTGGTGAGACCCCACTCCCACCCCACTCCCAGCCCACTCCCAGCCCACTCCCAGCCCACTCCCAGCCCACTCCCACCCCCACCCCCACCCCCACCCCCACCCCCAGCTTAATTGCGTCCCTTTGTTGTCGCAGTCCCGCCGGACCTGACCCCCGAGGAGAGGCTGGAGTTGGAGAACATCCGCAGGCGCAAGATGGAGCTCATCGTGGAGATCCAGAGGCTCCGGGACGAGCTGAAGGAGGCCATGCTCGAGGTGGAAGGGCTCGAGATCAACGAGGGAAGGTGGGGATCGGGATGCGGAGGGTTTGGGGGGTGGTGCCGCGGTGCGGAGGAAGGAGGTGGGGTGGGTGCTTCAGGAGCGCCGTCCTGTCTGCAACGGGCTGGAGGAGGAGGGGGCTGAGTGGCCTCCCGTTTCTGTGTGTACCAGGCTGGAGGAGGGAGGGGGCTGAGTGGCCTCCCGTTTCTGTGTGTACCAGGCTGGAGGAGGAAGGGGGCTGAGTGGCCTCCCGTTTCTGTGTGTACCAGGCTGGAGGAGGAAGGGGGCTGAGTGGCCTCCCGTTTCTGTGTGTACCAGGCTGGAGGAGGAAGGGGGCTGAGTGGCCTCCCGTTTCTGTGTGTACCAGGCTGGAGGAGGAAGGGGGCTGAGTGGCCTCCCGTTTCTGTGTGTACCAGGCTGGAGGAGGAAGGGGGCTGAGTGGCCTCCCGTTTCTGTGTGTACCAGGCTGGAGGAG